GATGATATCCCGGACGTCAGTCTAAGCGAGATTAGAATGGCTCTCCAGCACCTTAAAATTGATTGGTTGCCTTTATCTAATTCTTGAGAAACATAATCGGTCATTTCCTGCACAGCATCAGCAGTGGACATTTTAGGCCTGAAACCATATTGCATATTCGATATCAAATCTGTTCTGTTCAAGTATATATATATATATATATATATATATATATATATATATATATATATATATATATATAAATATATAAATATATATATATATATATATATATATATATATATATATATATATATATATATATATATATATACTTGAACAGAACAGATTTGGTTGGTGGGCTTGCACGCGGCTGTGAGGTTAAGTTAGGTACCTAGGTAAGTAGGTAGCTAGCTACTTTGTATGTAACTATTTTAGCTTACTTACTTTTTCATTTTTACTCAGCGCATTTCGGCGGCAACATAATCATCATTTTTTGCAAAATAGTGGGCAACCATAAGTCCATCTATTTTAGGTAGATTCTCTAATTGCCGTTTTTCAAATCCTGCGTCCATGATATTAAATATACACTATGAAAGTAACAATAGTATAATACGAAGAGATGAAACAAAAAATGGTATCCACTAACGAATCTACTAGCGCAAAATACGTTAATTACAATTGTAGCCGGGCCGGAGAGACTACTGAGCGGACGGAATGACAGTTGACCCACGACGTCACACAAGGGCTGGGCATCCGCGTGGCTAATAAAATATTTGCGGGAGTTTTGGATGTGTGTAAAATCTAAACGAATTGATCTTTTGGAATGAAACAAATAGTAGTGTATTTATATACATATAGGCTTTGCTGTGACAAAGTTTCGAGCGAGTTTGCATACCCGGTAACATTCTTAATCATATTAATTATAGGTTGATAGTTACGTTCTTTTGCTGCGGAACAAAATTGATATTATTTTAATATATGAGAAGTCACTTTAGCTGTGTTGCATTTGAATTCACTTCGATTGGGCTTTATTGTAAAAACAGTTTTCTTTGTACAGCATATCGATATGATTTGTTATGCAATATGCCAATCGTTTTTAGTTACGTTTTGATTTAAGGAACTCGTGCCAGGATTAATAAATCTGTAATAAGCTAGCCTATAATAGTATGCGTAGATGGAGCATGGAGTTAGTCTATGAGAGTTGCCGGGGGGAAGGGGGGGGACATTAGCTTCGATGGATTGCTTCTGTTGTTTTATCGTTTAAATAATTGGTTTGAAGTGGATTTTGACACATAAAAGTAATGAGATTGTGTTTATTAAGTAACTGCGCATGTGAAATATTAGAGAAAACAACAAAACAATTGCTTCTTTGTTAATATACACCCCAAGTTAATATTATCGTTTAGGCGCCTTATGAGCTTGAGTTACTGTCGTCATCGACTGTCCGCTGCATTGAGCTATCGTCAGAATTTTAAAACTTCGCAATTTGACGCTTCAGCATATTGTGTATAAAAAATCTAAAAAACACGGTAGTATTAGTTTGTGATTCCGAATGAAATGAAGTCATATCTTAAAAAACAAGCATCCAAGGCAAAAATCTTAATAACAAAGAGCTAGCCTATGATTGATATACTTGTCATTGTCAAAACAAATGAGACAGAGAGAAAGTTTTTGGTACCTACTTTTCGTAAAGTAATATTAAACTGAATATTACTACTTTAATTATATCATTTGTTACAGTAGACTTGAATAATAACTGTCACGCTAATAAATTAGGAAAGTGGATTTTTGGTTCGGCTTTAGTACCTAAGTGTGACAAGGGTTTTTTCAAAAGTTTCATGTTTATCTCAAGTCTTGTATCTTGATGGATATCTACCGAAAGTATCATATCATCTAATCATCCGGAATTATTAGAATTGTAAGTTGCTATGTATTTACGTAGTCTAATATGATAGTTTTGAAGGCCGATTTCCTAAATTTAGGATTATTTGTTATATATTATGTTATATGTTATATATCTTTGATCTTCCCTTCATATAAAAGTAAATGATAAGTATTTTGACTCCCAGGTCGACACTCGTAATTATTAAAGACGATAAAGACATTAAACTACCCAAACATGTCTTATAATGTCTCGCTATATTCCTGCACTGGTATTTTCTATTTTTTGTTAATAAAGTTAATTTCTTGCTATAAAAAGAAACGACGGGTTGCACTCCGGGAGTGCCGGCAGAAGTGAAAACTTCAATATTAACATTGTGCATTTTTGATATTTCGGAATGGTTAGGGAATAATTTTGCTCGAATTGCTTTAATTATCAGTATAAAAGTACTATCATTTATGTGGTAGTATACAATATTTATTTATTGCGCTATCATACACAAACATGACAATTTATATTACATTCGCGCAAGCACCCTGAGCCGCCTAAACCAAACTGGCAGCAGGCAGGCGCAGGCATACATTTTCGTCGCGCCATAGAAAGAGAAGGGGATACTTCCTCTCCTATGCCATTCGTCTTACATATTTTCGATCAGGTCATGTGTCCTGATGCGAGTTTAACATTTTTTACCCATTACAAAAAAAGTGTACAATGCCGCTAAAGAAGTTTTCACTTCAAAAATTCTGGTACGTATTACTTTCATCTTGTTCTTTTTTTACATATGACTACTATTACTTTCTTATAATTTTCATTTTGACATAATTTTCATTCAATATTTACCCAATATACCTACTTTGATTAAAATAATAATTTTTAATTTTGTGATTTAATTACAACACTATTGTCATTATGGTCACAAGGCTCAATACTTTGCCTGGGTAGCTAACAATTTCCCTTAATTTTTCCAGCAGTAAGCAAAGGTATTCTTTGAATATTGAATTTGGTATTCATTCACTTGTTTATAATCACCTTGTGGCCGTGGAAGGAAAAGGGGGAGATCTCCCGCTGGGTAAGGTGTTCTGCCCGGGGAGCGGCCAACACTCCGAGTGATAGTTCGGAGAAGTTCTATATATACTGTCCATGATTCGGAATGTTAATAGCGCGATTTAGGCGTCGGTGTGTATCGGTGTGCTAGTGACGTGACGACAGCGCCGCCACATCACCCCCCTGCTCAGACCGGAGGTCGATAGTGCAGCCTCGTTACCGACGAATGTGCAAGTGCCAGTGGATTGCCTTGCAGTCTGCGGTGAGTCGAGAAGAAGGCAAGTAATATGCGAGAGTCCCGTGAAGCAGAGGCGAGCAGTAAGGCTCAGAGCCGTGCCGAACACTGTATGGCGCAGAGAGTAGCTTGAAGGAACACGAAGCATTATTATTTCAGTGCTGCGATGAACCTTGTGAAGCTAGATGGCTTGCAGGATATGAAGACTACAGACAATATCTGCTCGGGAGCAAATGGGTGGGGTATTCTATGACGTTGATGAAGCTTGAAGTTTCCGAAGGTTGTTGGTTGCGTTTTCAGATCACGTCGGGGTCACCACTGTGGCCGTAGAAGGAAAAGGGGAGATCTGCCGCCGGTTAAGGTGTTCTGCCCGGGGAGCGGCCAACACTCCGAGTGATAGTTCAGAGAAGTTAATGTTAATAGCGCGATTTAGGCGTCGGTGTGTATCGGTGTGCTAGTGGCGCGACGACAGCGCCGCTACAACCTGTTCACTGGAATGTTCTGCTTTGTTCTTTTACTTCTTGGACATGACTGTAGTAGTCCAATCTTTGCCTTCATACATGGATTATGATAATTCTGGCATACCTTCTGGTAGGTTGGTAGGCATTTAGCGACTGGCAAAAATGTAGCAGTAGAGCCAAGCTGCTCTATATTATGGCTGCAGCATATATGGGTTGGTTTGACTGAAAAAGTTCTTCACTGGTACAGCATTATGTTGGTGTGGGTTGTATGGTAAGTGACCAGAAATAAAACCCTTTTTATAAGTAACAAGGTGTGGCGGTGCTGTCGTCATTGAAGCCTAAATCGCACTACCAACATACCGAATCAAAACAGTTTATATAGAATAGCTCTGAACAAAAAATATAAGCAAGTCCAACTTGTCTTCATGTCGACTCACCGCAGATTTATAAGGCAGACTACTGACACTCTGGCAAATAGTTCTCACCGGCATTATTTGGCATGCATTACACACCGACATATTGTTTGCACCAGTGTTTTTTGCCCTTGTTCACACAACATGCATTCCCCACCGGCATTAAGGACGCACCGGCAATCAGACTGTACTATTAGCCTCCGGTCTGAGGAGGAGGAGGAGGTGATGTGGCAGCACTGTGGTCGCGCCACAAGCGAAACACATCGAAGCCTAAATCATGCTATCAAAGTTTGGAATCAAAACAGTATATACATAATAGCTCCGGAATATCATACGGAGTGTTGGCTGCTCCCTGGGTAGAACACCTTGCCTGGCGGAGATCTCCCCTTTTCCTTCTACGGCCACAAAGACATTCCTTGTTATTCCTTAGAATTCAATTGTATATTCTTATATGTATATTACATAATATCTTAGTTAATTGTGAGCTGAGTCTGAGGAGGTATGGTGTACGAGAGACCATTGTATGATATCATTTTTGATAAATAATGAACAGTTATTTCTCCATAACTCTTTTAGTTGAATATGTCCACTCTGCCAACGGGATTTGACGTTTTTGTTAATAAGGATGTAACTTTATTTGTTATTTTCTTAAAACATTAAAATAAAAATTCAACCACTGTCTTGTGTTGTATATTTACTACGCCAGCTACTAACCAGTGTTCGCATCTGACGATGTCATCCACATTTGTGGTACAGGTTTTGTTTTGACTTGCCGGTCTAGTAGTGTATGTAGGGAAGTCTTTGTTTTTTTGATATGCATATATTGTTACGATTTTTGTCTTCACTGTAGTGAATAATATGTTTAATAAACAATTTTAGAGGTGATGATATTGTCTGTGTTATAAATTTGTAATGTGAATGCCTGCGAATAGCAAAATTTCATATATTTTTAAGATTTCTATGCCTTTATGGGAATGAAAAAAATGTTTCATAATTCTGGTAGATGGACTTTACACGATTGTGCTAAATCGAGCGGTGTGTGGGGTGCAGGGTGCGGGTGCCGGGGCGGGCGCGGTGATGCGGCGATGGCCGGGCGGCGCGTGACGCGCAAGTGGGAGGTGTTCGCGGGCCGCAACCGGTTCTGGTGCGACGGGCGGCTGATGACGGCGCCGCAGCCGGGCGTGTTCGCGCTGACGCTGGCGCTGATCTGCGGCACGTGCGCGCTGCACTTCGCGTTTGACTGCCCGTTCCTGGCGGTGCGCGTGTCGAGCGCGGTGCCGGCGCTGGGCGCGGCGCTATGCGGCGCCACGCTGGCGGCGCTGCTGCGCACGGCGCTGTCCGATCCGGGCATCATCCCGCGCGCAGCGGCCGCGGAGGCGCAGCACGCGCAGCTGGCGCAGCACCCGCTCGAGCCGGACGCCGGCCGGCCGCCACCGCGCGCGCGCGAGGTGCTGGTGCGCGGCCGCCCCGTCAAGCTCAAGTACTGCTTCACCTGCAAGATGTTCCGGCCGCCGCGCGCCTCGCACTGCTCGCTGTGCGACAACTGCGTGGACCGCTTCGACCACCACTGCCCGTGGGTGGGCAACTGCGTGGGCAAGCGCAACTACCGCTACTTCTACCTGTTCGTTGTGTCGCTGTCGTTCCTGGCGGTGTTCGTGTTCGCGTGCGCGGTGACGCACCTGGCGCTGCTGGCACGCGGCGAGGGGGGTGAGGCCGGTGGGGGGCGCGGGCTGGCGGCCGCGCTGCGCGCCTCGCCCGCCTCCGCGCTCGTGGCCGCCGTCTGCTTTTTGTCCGTGTGGTCGGTGCTAGGGCTCGCCGGCTTCCACACCTACCTCGCCTCTACAGACCAAACCACTAATGAGGATGTGAGTGTATCATCACTAGTTCAGCGTTATGCAATTTTAATTTTTGATGTATGTACACAACAAAGGTATTTTTAGTAAAAAAAAAAGTGATAAATACACAATAAACCCTAAGAACAAATACCAGTATCTCAACTGCACAGAGTCAGTAGTTCATTCAAGGGACAATATATAAACTGTTAAAACAAAATCCATGAAAATATATTATATTACACCACCCCATAGTTAGAAGATCGAAGAATATGTTTTCCTAAATGAGGAGTGTAATGGGCAAACGCCACCATTTTGGCGCGTTTCATTAGGTACACTTATTCACACAAAACACACGGCCTTGTCCACGACACAACCACACCCCGATTTTTTAACCAACTTCAGAAAAGAAGAGGTTCTTAATTCGAGTGTATGTTTTTTTTTCAATATCTTTACAGATTGTGAACCGATTTTAACAATTCTTTTTTTATTAAATATGCTTTACTTCAAAGGTAGTCCCATTAAAATTTGAAGAAAACATTCCGCCCCCAAATGTGAAAAGTAGAGGATAAAGTTTCATATTGGAGTATTAAGGAATTTTTTTATATAGGATAGGGTGACAAACGAGCGTACAGTCCACCTGATGGTAAGTGGTTGCTGTGGCCCATAGACATTTAAATTTATCCTCGATTACGAATCAAAATGCAGAGGCGTTGTCTCCGGTTCTCTACACTCACCATACGAAACACAGCAGCATTAAGCTACTATTTCAGGCTGGTATTCTGTGAGAGCGTGGTCCTCGGTCGAGCCAACCCATTTGTGCTACAACTATACTACTAACATAACTGCAGCATGGCTCTATCACGTATGATGATAAAACCCATTTTAATGTTTTTTATTTTTATTGAACAGGTTTTACTGCAAGGGTGGGACCATATAAATTTGGAGAAAAATTCCACCCCTATGATATAAATAATCTCTTTATTAGCAATTTGAAGTCGGTTTTCACTTTTGCTAAAGTTATATTTATTGTTATATACTAAAATCGCGCTGATGACGTAACAATTTATTAAATAATACCTAAAAACGAATACGTCATACCTCAAATCGTGCCATTTATGCCAACTCTTCAATAATGTAAGAATAAGATAAAAGTATTATGTCATAAAATATACCGCCTTATATGTTTTATAGCTTCAAATAAAAATGTTTTTTCTTTCATACTTGAAACTTTAAACAAGTGTAAAGAGAACGTGTATGTAGTATCATCGTGTTGTTTCAGATCAAAGGCTCGTTCTCGAGCCGCGGCGGGGTGTCCAACCCCAACCCGTACTCGCGCGGCAACGCGTGCGCCAACTGCTGGTACGTGCTGTGCGGCCCGCTCGCGCCCAGCCTCATCGACCGGTACCCACTCTCACACTTACTTACTTACCACACTATTGCCCAAATGCTTAAACGCTGCTCAAGTATAAGGTGCTTTTAAATCTCGTGCTGTGTCTATCACTTTAGATTAAACTGACTGGGACACCACAAGACTTAATGACATTTAAAAATAGAGTAGCATTTGAGTATTTGACTTTATCACTTTTAAATAAAATTAGTTTTTACGGATTTTATCGCGTATATTAAATTATTTTATATTCACGATGTTTCGAGTACTTTACAGGAGTCATGGTCACAGCGGGACTTATGTGTTCGTCGTCCCAATGTCATAATTAACCACGGCTACCTTTAAATTAAAATTATTCTACGCAGTATTAACTTTTAGTATCTTGAAGTTTTATAGTTGTATGCTTGGGTTGATATTTAGTTTTATTAATTATAGGATCCCAAGCAGATGGTCGCGCTACCCAGCCACCTTTCTATTGAAATTAGAACTATTTAATTACTATATTGCCTTTACGCACTCCTCCGAAGTTCATGAAATGTAATCAAAGAATATTAGGTATACCCATCCTTTATCCTTTCTTTTAATTATCATGCCATGACAAGGACTTCTATGTATACTACTAGACGAGCGCTGTGGCACTAACGCATTGCGCACTATGTTACGGTTAATTCTATGTATACTACTAGACGAGCGCTGTGGTACTAACACATTGCGCACTATGTTACGGTTAATTCTATGTATACTACTAGACGAGCGCTGTGGTACTAACACATTGCGCACTATGTTACGGTTAATTCTATGTATACTACTAGACGAGCGCTGTGGTACTAACACATTGCGCACTATGTTACGGTTAATTCTCCGTAACTTTAGTCCATTGCGAGCAGAGAGAAGACTAGCTCATTATTTTGTAAAACTCGAACCTTGTATTCGACAAACACTGATTTTGTTTAAAGTAACTAGGTGAACGCTGTTATTGTTTTTGTGCGCACTTTGTTTGCCTAAAAACAGTAACTGCCGTAAATCAAAATACAACTGCACTGCACATTAGCCGTGCCAGCTGTCCGCCCGCACGCTCGCTCGCACGCTCGAACGCACGCTCGCCCTCACGCTCGCCCGCACGCTCGCCCGCACGTTCGCCCGTGCGGTCCTCAACCGTCACACAGTTTTTGTTCTTAATAGCCCGTCTAGTACGATACGTAGAAGTCTCTGATGCATGCAATAAAATTATTCCTAACAATAAAAGATGATCAGAAGAATAATACTTAATATTAGGATGTGATAAAAAATCTGTCCGATCCAAAAGGGGGAGGGGGGAGGGGTTTGTATACGAGTGTATTGTTCGGTGTTTTTTTTACCTGCATGACAAGTTTCGATGGTTGTTGTCTATGGTTTGGCAGTTGAGAATTTCAAACTGTATTGACCTTTCTGTTCAGTAATTCATCATGAATCGTTTAACGCCAGAACAAACCAAATTGTGGAAATTTACTTTGAAAAAAAAATCTGTTCGCGAAGTTCATAGAGTACTTCGTCCACTTTACGATCAACATAATCGGCCTAGTGAGCAAGCAATTCGTGCAGTTATTGAACGTTTTCGCACTAATTTTACTCTTCTCGATTCAAAGCCATCAACAAAATAAAGAAATGATACCGAAGAGAATAATGCTGCTCTAGCGTGAAGTGTTGAAGAAGACGCCGAAATGTCGATTCGTCGCCGTTCTCAATTTGTTGGCCGTTGTTTTTCGACTACGTGGAAAATTTTACGTAAGGATCTTGGCTTATGTGCTTATAAAATACGGCTTCATGAAAGAATTAAAGCCAAATATCCAATCGTTTATTCGTCGCATTTTTGCTGATTGGGCTAATTTGAAACTGGCCGAAGATGAGCATTTTCAAGCATTCAAGGCGAGCGATATGGAGCCACACTGAGAGATTTTTTGTTTCTAAAAATTAATCAGCTAAACATCAACGACATTTGGTTCCAACAAGACGGCACAAGTTGCCATACAGCGCGCTTAACCATCAATTTATTGCAAAATCAATTTGGTGCCAACTATTTTTCCAGAAGTGGACCTGTTAACTAGTAATCGAGAGTCGCACGAACCAGGGGGTCGTTCTTGCAACTTAACGTCTCTCGATTATTTTTTGGGGCTATTTTAAGTTATTCGTTTATGCCGACAAACTAGCAACTCTTGAAACATTGGGAAGCCAATATTTAAGCCACGGTTGACGTCATACGGCCAGATTTAATGGAAAAAGTAGTGAAATACTGGGAATATGGAGACTATGTTACTCGTAGCCGGGGCGGTCATATATCGGGAATTATATTTAAAAAATAAATACCTTGAAATTATCTACCAGATTATAATAATAAAAATATATTTCCAACAATATTTCGGTCTTGTGTTATTATTTAAAGTTCTCAAGCTTTTAAAAAACAGCTTTTACTTCAAATTGAGCATATTATTACATCGATACGGGGGCGACACTGAAAATTTTTAGAACTGGAAATGGAACTCTTTGCTAATATTATTGTGTATGTATTTTATTAATTTGTCACTTGTTTACGATTTGGCGGCAAATTGAAAATTGTCTGTGTCACATCAGCATAAATTTTATGTGAGAAAATTTTCGTACAATGATTTTATGTTACTTTCGATGTTATTTAAGTCAACCAGAAAGTTATGACAGATTTTAATAAGTAGATATGAAGTAAAACAGATTACACAGTAGCGCTTTTTATTCACTTGATCAACGATTTACAATAATTATATATTATTGTTTACTTAATGTAAATGATAACAGATTCTAGCAGAGCAACTCACTCGTAGGCGGGAAACTCACAACTGAACCCCCACTAAGACACAGCAGTAACTTTTATAGCGTATAACGCTGTTACGATTACCCACAAATCTTATTATTTTTACATATTATGTTGCTCTATGGTTGTATGATTTATTAACCTAATAATCATGTATGTATAATAATATATTATAAAGGTGTCGATGGTTTTAAATCCATTGGTAACATTCGGCCATTCTGATTCAGACGTCTCCCGTGGCGCTCATTATATCCGCCACTTTGCCTCTGAGAAGAGAAAAGAAAATTACGCAGTAAATTGTGCTATTATCAAAAAGAAATCATGTGGACAAGATTTATTTTGTTTGATTACAGGCCATGAATAAAAGTTTAAACTATTTATGTACCTAGTTGTTTACCTAACAGTTCTAGTACGTTGGCCAATTTGGGCTTATTCGCTTAGCCATCCCAGTGTTTTAATAAATATGTATTAATTCAATTAGCTGCCCCTGTGCTTTACCTATTACGGGCTTGTTTACTTAGCCGTCCCTCTGATTATTATGGTCTTGGTCATTTAGCCGTCCCGGATCTAAAACTATTGTGGACTTGTTCACTTAGCTTTCCCGGTTAAAATATTGTGGACTTGTTCACTTAGCTGTCCCGGATCTAAAACTATTGTGGACTTGTTCACTAAGCTGTCCTGGTATTTTAATCTGTACTTTAGCTGCTTCATATATATATATATATATATATATATATATATATATATATATATATATATATATATATATTTGATTTAGGCTTATTATTACAAATTACATCAGAGTTAACCAATATGTTTTAATTAAAACAATATTTTAGTTAACACTATAACCGAAACAACTACTAGTACATTATTATTAACAATAAGTCAAAATAATTCAATTAAACAATTACATTATGTTTTTTTAGTATTATTCTAGAAACTAAAAAAGATGCACACATTTCCAATAAAGGCAGCACATATGCTTAACTTTCTAAGAGGTCTATGAAATCATCCCTTTCTACTTCATGGTCGCTACATGAACTGTCATAATCAGATAGTGTTGATTTATATGGTCGTAGACTCTCTTCAATAGCTACAGCGTTAAACCTTCTGTAACCTTTCATACTCATAATACTACGTATTTTATAATGATCGAGTGATTGTTCGGCCTTACAAATTTTGTGTGGACCCGTGTACGAACCATTAAGTTTTTTAGGGACTAGCAGTTGTATCTTTAGCCACACCCCCTTTCCATAAAACCAAATCTCCTAGTTTATACTATCGGCATTTTTTATGCTCACGATCGAAGCTACTTTTCATTAAGGTCATATTCCTACCAGTACGGAATTTGGCACCGTTTCTTCTAGCCTGTAAGTTTTGTTGTTGAGACTCATGATCTTGCAGAGATTCTTTAGGAAAACATGGGAAACGTGAATTGTCGTGACCAAACATTAAACTAAAAGGGGAATATGCCGTAGTAGAATTAGGGATTATTATTAATTCCCCAAACTACATCTGGCAATTTCTTATCCCATGTACACTCACTGTAGCTCTAGCGAAAACAAACTTGGTAAATGTATCGATAACGAAAATAATATAGGTATTACCTTTAGTATTAATGAAAGGTCCCAGGTGGTCTGCGTGTATGGTATGCATGGGACAAGCTGCTTTGTCTATTGGGTGTAATTCACCCTCTAGTTTGTCATGGTCGCCCTTACCGAAAGCGCATTGTATAAGCAAGTGTTGATGTACTTACGTATGAACCGTGTCATGCTTGGGAACCCGGATGAAGTATTTAATGGTGAAGTTTTTGTAACAACCCATACTTGGCTGATTTAGGAATAACAAATCTATCCCCACCAATGGTCTTCCTAAACAGCATGTTATCCTTAACGACATATTTAGCTATTAAGTTTGGATTAGTGCTTTGTTCGCGAAATTGTGTGAAGATATTTTCAATACCTTCATGTTGCATTTGCAGTGTTTTTAACCATCATTATCTGTCATGAGAACAACACTTGAGGATGGGTTCCTGTTCAAAACATCAACATGCTTCATACGTTCGCCTGGACGGTACTCTATTGATCGAGGATGGGTTCCTGTTCAAAACATCAACATGCTTCATACGTTCGCCTGGACGGTACTCTATTGATCGAGGATGGGTTCCTGTTCAAAACATCAACATGCTTC